GGCCTAACTCTGGCTGTTGCGGATCTTTGGGGAGTAAATCAATGGATGGAAGATCTTTCTCCCTCTCTTTTTCAAATAAAATAAAAATTTTAAAAATTTAATAAGTCCTGTTATTTGAGAAAAAGAAAAGTTCAAAATATATACATGGACACAATCTTATTTAAAATCCTACTTATCTATAAGACAAAGATAACACAAAAGAGAGTACTAGATGGGGGCTGGTGCTGTGGCTTCATGGGCTAAGCCACTGCCTGCTGTGCTGGCATCCCACACGGGTGCCAGTTCGTGTCCTGGCTGCTGCACTTCCAATCCAGCTTTCTGCCTACGGCCTGGAAAAGCAGTAGAAGATGGCCCAAGCCCTTGGGCCCCTGCACCTGTGTGGGAGACCTGGAAGAAGCTCTTGGCTCCTGGCTTTGGACTGGCCCAGCTCCAGCTGTTGCAGCCACTTGGAGAGAGAACCAGCAGATGGAAGACCTCTCTTTCTGTCTCTCCCTCTGTCTATAGCTGTCTCAAATAAATAAAATCTTAAAAAAAAACAAACAAACAAAAACAACAAAAAAAACAGAGGGTACTAGAATAAAGTGAAGAAAATACACAGGCTTTGGATTTTCTAATACAGTAACATTCTGAAGCAGCTTACACTAAAAGAACAATACTCAGGTATTCTGTGACATTCTGTTCAGATTTAAAGTTTGCATAAAGTAAAATTATAAAATTAAGGATCATGATTTTAAAACTACATATTCCAGGGCTGGTACTGGGGCACAGTGGGTTGGGCAGCTGCCTGCAACCCTAGCATCCCGTATGAATGCTAGCTTGAGTCCTGGCTGCTCCATTTCTGATCCAGATGATACGCCTAGAAGAGCAACAGAAGATGGCCTGAGTAACTGGGCCCTTGTCACCCAAGCGGGAGACCCACACAGTGTTTCACAATCCTGGCTTTGACCTGGTCCAGCCCCAGCCATTGTGGCCATTTCGGGAGTGAACCAGGAGATGGAAGATTCCCCTCCTCTCCCCCTTCCTTCCTCCTCTCTCCCTCCCCCCCGCTCTCTGCCTCTGTCTCATTTTCTCTTTGTAACTCTGCCTTTCAAATAAATAAATAAATCTTTAAATACACACACACACACACGCCAAAGTATAACGCAAATTTCAGGCTCTGTTTAGGACTACAATACTCATCACAAACACTAGAGGATACACATTGTATTTTATCATGGATTGCGAATAATGTGACACTACCCTTAACCTGTTAGGCCATTTATTAGTAACATTCATGACTTCCATCCTTTTTCACAATGATTATTAATGTTGAGGGGTAACTGTTTCTTGAGAAGCAGAGTATCAATAATGGAATTATCCTTAAATCTACTACTGTCATGACTTAAATCACTAAACACGGTGCCAAGCACATAGCAGGTATTCGAAAATCTGTTAATGAATGAATCACCAACCAACTAGGTAGGTAGGTTACTCAATTACTCTATATATTTTCACTTACTGCACGTGAGGATGAGACTTCTCTGGCCCAATTTCCTCAGATTAAGTCTTGGGCTGATCAAGGCACTCTGAAACGCTAACATTAAGACAATCAGAAATAAGATGCGTTCATTTCATGCAACACTCACACAAGGAAGTTATCTATCACACCCCTGCCTCGCGGTTCCTTTGGCCCTTTCATCTTAAACACCATTCCCTCAGGAAGGAAATCTCCCAGCCTCCCTTCGAAAGAAATTATGCTCCCTGTTTTAATTCTTCCTGAATGCTCCGTTTTCCTTTTGCAGCACACATCATGACAGTAATTAAATGACATTTGCATTGTCCCTTGTTAAATGTTTGCCTTCTATTCTAGACTTCGGACAACATGAAGGTAAAGGTCACATGGGCCATGCTGACTGACTTCCTATTTCTTGCACTTAGAAGTGCCTGGCATATAGAATGCTGTATAAAGTGTTAAGAGTGGTGACAGTATATAACCCATTTATCCTGAGTTTCTATAAATGATTTACAGACAAAGCATTTTTAGTGCTCACTGTGTAATATTCCCTCTACAAATGAGCTAGAGACAGTCATTTTTATTTTTAGTTTTGGAGCACGAAATAAATGCTGACACCAAATACTACCTTCAAGCACCATGGAATGTAGTAATCTATTTTCTCAAAGGACAAAGGAAGGCAATCTGAGAGCTTCTGCTAACTGACACAGGGACTGCAGGTGAATTGATCTATACTTCCGAGTGTTCCAAAGTAAATTCCAAGACCTGCTAGAGGTGTATAACCTTCAGAATTCTGTGAAAGTAAAAGTGAGAGGGCAAAAGACAGCAATGTTTATTTAAATAATGAATGCTCCTTGACAATAAAAAGTTTTCTTTTTTAATTTCCTACGGCTGTGGAATTCAGAAACAGAAACAGGACTCCTATAGGCTCCCATTACCTTTCTTCTTTCTTAATACTCTGAAAAAAAAAAAAAAAAAAAAAAACAACTTCATCTTAGTGGCCATACCTTATATTGTAATTTAAGCACCTTAAACATAATTTATGCGATTCTTGAATTCCAGAGTAGAAGAGTCCACAGTTAAAAAAGTACCTTAAGTAAAGTTAGTAAAATAAGGTACAAACATTTTAGAAAATTCTGTTCAACCTTTCTAAGTTGTTTGGAAATCTGGGCTTGCAATAATATATCTTATCACTAAATCAAATTTTATGAATGCCAAAGTGTTTTGATATACATTATCTAATCTGATTCACATAACAGTCTTGTGAAATAGGCAGGCTAAGAATTTTATAGACGAAGAATATGAGGGTCCAAGAGGTTAAGTTTCTTCACCACATAAGTTTCTCAACTTAGAAGACGCTCTAGGGCTGCAAGAGCTTCTACTCCCTGGGATCTTGCTGTTAACGAAGGAACTCTAGCATCCTTCGAGCCTCCCTCGATGCTGCTCGTTCTTTATCCCTCACCAAAATAAGTATTAAGAGAGTAACAGGCATAACTCCAAATATGCAAATGGTACAAGCTATTTTCCTCAAAATAATGATTATTATCCACTCAGTTTCAGAAACCTTGTAAAATCATGATGTACTATTCTTGGCCTTGTAACAAGATTGCATAGAGAGCATAACTGCATCAGAAAAGGAAGACAAAGATGTTTCCTCTACTATGAAAGACCAGAGACTTCCCTGACAAGCATTAGAATCTCTCTACCCAAGTTGCTGCACAGCCTCTAGTGTGAGCCTAGGGCTGAAAAGTGGGAGAAATGTATCTTCCCCACTTAGTAGAGTGAAGGTAATAGGATGAGATCGCAAGATAAAATAAGTACTGTTAACTACTGAACATGAATGAGGATGGAGGTTTCTCTGTGTTTAACTTTTTTTTTAAGAGTGACAATTGCTTGAAGAGGCAAGAGTTCAATACTTGATATAAAACTACCTTAAGTATCTGTGAATCTTAAAATTTAATAGAAAATAAACATTAAATTCTTTGATTCTCAAATCTCATTTTTAAAATCTATAATACACTGTGCTGTTATATTTGTACAGTATGAAAGTAAAAGATAGTTATCAAAAATCTCTACAGAATGTAAAGGTCAAAGCAAAACAGATCCATCTAATAGACCTAATTTTGATCTTTGGCAGCAAACACACTTCATCTATAAAGTCAGACTTGTCCTTTTAAGTCATTTTCAACCTTAGATACACATTAGAATGAGTTTCTAGGAAACACTGGCGACCTACCCTGCTCCGGACCAGTGCAATCACATTCTTTGACAGTAGGAACTGCTGCCTGGGGTTCAGCTACAACTGAAAACTTCTAAGCAGGTGCTTTATTAGCCAGTTTCAAATATGATGTTGATATGACATCCTTTTCTTATTTTTTAATGAAGGAATATTCACAAGACCAAGTCTAACAGTCACAGTGGCAGGACAGATTAAAATTTCACAAATCAAACAAGTTTATTACTTGGATATAAGCAAATATTCTTAAAGTAAGTCACAAATACAATGCTTAATAAATACTAACCATTAATTAAAACTAGTGAAACATCCTATAACTATAAATGGCTCATTTCACCCATTAGGTCCCCTTGTCTTACATTTAGAACAAATATAAATTCTTAAATTGAACAACAAATACACCACTGTGGTAAATTTCAAATAACTATATCATTGAAATATTCACAGAATTGAACATTTTAATAGGTTAAGCACAAAACAACCTCTAGAAATTTATCTTCCAATGAACAGTAGCCAATCTTGTTAAATATTTGATTTTTGGAATTTTCCCATAGCTATAAGAAAGAAAAGGCAAACAAAGAAACCAGAAGTACAAGACACTCTATTACACAGGTATATGAAATCAGTTCAACAGGGAGTTTCCACTGCTCAGAGGACAAAGGACTTCTCAGAAACATTACTGCAATCATATTGCTCATTTCTTACTCAATACAGTACTACTAAAAAGGATGTTGCTATGTTCCCACCTTAACTGCCTCATGTTTTGTTCCTGTGACAGCTGGAGTCAACAAAGATAAGTTTGGCTCCTGGAAAAACCAAAATGCCAACCTTTTTTATTTTTAAACTTGCTCTAAAACTTTTCCATATTATCTGATTCTAAGAATTTTACAAGAGATGCATATTGATTAAAACTGGAAAATAACTAAACCTGGTCCAAACTGTTTGCTTAAGCAATACAACAGCAAAAAAAAAAAAAAAAAAAAAAAAAAGAAAGAAAGAAAACAGCCAAAAAATTGCATATAATTGTTAGCATTTTATGTAATTGTCGCATTCAAAGGTGGATTACACCATAATTTTTGAGACAGAAAATGCAAGACAATCTATGTGGCCTACCTGGGAGAATATTTAAGATTCCTGATTAAGAGAAAATTTATAGCTGCTACAGTAATGATAAGGAAATATTGGAGGCTACAGAAAATTTTGATTTTCTGTTTCTATTTCTAGGACAGAGAGTTGTAACCAAATATGACCAGGTGAGTGGTATAGACTTACATGATTTATTGCAGATTGAACAGCCTTTACGTAATGGTTTAGTTCCCGATCCATCATAGCAAATTCAACCATTGCTTTGTCCATACTATATTCACTACTCACTTCAGCTGAAAGGAAAAAAGATTGCAATTACTATTTTCCACTTAAAATGGCCACATCTGTAAAAATTGCACAAATATAATCTACATTAGCCAATGGTCTAAACAATCTTGTATAGGTATTATGCAATATGCTAAGTTCATTAAAAATTTTATAAATACACTTAGTAGAAGGCTCAAAGGCAGTGTTGGGGTGGAAAGAAAAACAGACTCATTCCAAGAAGTTCCAGGATGTGCCATTCTTTTGTACAACCTTAAATCAATCATGGCACCACTCTCGGCCTCAGCCGCCTCCTCAAAGTGGTCCAGTTCCGTCCCTGCCACACAAACCTACAGGAGTGTACAATGCTAGATAAGGGAGAGTTCTAGAGTTCCACTTCCAGTAATGAGGGCCAGGTCATTTGGACTAATCCTCCTACTGAAAACAACTGAGAAAAAATCAGGGGGAAAAACGCAAACAAGTCTTAACAAGTTTCCTAAGATAGTAGAGGCAAGGAAGGCAAAATATAGGGGAAACTGACAAGAAGGGGGTCCAGAGATCACCCAGGTAGAATACCCTCCCACAGTGCGCAAGATCCCCACTCCTCCGTGCAAAAACGAGCCAGAAATAATCCCACCCTGTCTTCAGGACTATGGGAGCTGGGTCTTGGCCATAAAACAGAGGAGGACGGAAAGGGAGAAAAAACAAACTGAAAAACTGGCCACAAACTAGACCCCCTGGATTTGCAACCTGGGGTCACCTCAGGGACCCTAAACGCTAATCTCGGTGCAAGATGGATAGTACTACAGGTATCTGGTAGAAGCAGACATAATCCCCTTCTGGAGAAGACACTTTCTTCCTAGGTTTTAAATAATCCTGACAAATAATTTTGAAGGATAATGAACAGAACACCGGGGGGAAAAATGGAAACCAAAAACCTTATATAGCCTAAAACACATAAGAAAACAAGCCACCAAGAGTACGGATCACTAGAAATGTATTTGCAAATGTTTCACTTAATTGGAATTCTCTATCAATGTTTTAAAAATTAAAATCCTCAGAGAACAAGGTACTATAAAAAGTCACTAGCAGGTTGGAAAGGAAAGTAATGTTCTTAACAGTGCTTCTAAACTGTTTTTCCAAGCCCTAAATATATAATTTAACAGATCAGGAAAGACAGAGAACATGGGGTCATAAAAATTTTAGCATTAAAAAAAAACTGAATGAAAGGAAAGTTGGCTTACTAAGACACACTTGGGTACGTACATACTCAAGGACTCTCTGTTAAAACATCTTAGCACAGTTAAAATATCAGTATTTCCTGTCTACTCTGAAGAGCAATACCACAAACAGCATACATCATCTGAAACAATGGAAAAATCCATTGACATTTGGCTTTTAAAATTGACCTTCTCAGACTTTTAAATTATGCTTTAGTTTTACAACAGTCAGTTATAAGCACAGTCCATAGAACATCTCCCAGGTTAACATGCTTCAGTGCAGCCCCCAGAAACAAGGGGAGGGAAAACACGGGAGAGATCAGGAAGGCAGCGCTTTTAAAATGAACTCGGAATCACAGCACACCTGCAAGTGGTACCCAGGCAGCCAGTTCGGCCTCAGCAGCTTGGTGTGCGGCAGAAATCAGAGATGTCAGAAGAGAACTCCCACAGCACTACCTTAACACAGGTCATTAGAACATCCTCAACAGCAACATGCCATGGCTACTTTACGTAATTCTTGTGATTCTTTTTGTCAACCTATATCCCTGTACTAACAACCTCTTTTAAAATATCTGATTTGTGTGCACGTTTCAGAAACAACAAGTTAGGGAGGCATGGGGAATCTGTGTTCAATTCTACCAAAGAATTATGGTGGAGAAAGAAGAGCAAATACAGGGAGGGAAAAAAAAAAAAAAAAAAAAAACTGGAGATTTCCAGGGATAAACACATAAATGCAGGTACAGGTGGCTGTTGGCTAAAAAAAAGATGGCTGGGAATAGGGTTGATTGTAGAAGGACTGACCAGCTAGACGCTCCGTTCTACCTGATATTGTCACTATCAGCATTCTCCCTCCCCCTTCTACTGAAAGCCCTTCCTGAAAATCTACACCAAATTAAACCCTCTGCATCCTTCAAGGGCTAAACTCAAGGCCTACATTCTGAAATTATACCAGCCTACAAGGATCTTTTCCTCCACTTAATTTATCTTTAACACCCATACTTGATATTTTACATCATAAACAATCGCTTTTCTCATTTCTTCTAACAGACTTTAATCCATCTGAGGGCCAGAATGAGATCTAATAAAAATTAGAGCAACTCTTCCTGCAGTATCCTCCTACGCCATTACTTCACAAATGTCAAAATTAAACTTTTGCCAAACCATAAATTTTCCTATCTCAGATATTCAACTCAACTAAAATATAAAGAGGCTATGACATATACACATTTGCTTATTATATTGTCACTGTAAATTTTTTTGACAGGAAAAAAGTTGACACGAGCACAATCTGAGGGAAGGAAAGATTCACACAAAAGGTGAAAATTCACAGAAAGGCAATACCAAGAAGAAAACACTACTATGCTACACCTCTACAAGCCTGGCACTGCAGAAGTTTGGTGCAGATGAATGATAAAGCACACAAAATAAGGATCATGATGATAAACTCATCTACACTAAGCATCCCTAATCAGAAACTTGGAAAGCCCAAATTGCTCCAAAACTTGACACTTTTCAAGTGTCAATAAGTCTCATCCCTGCATATAGGCAAATGTTCCGAAACCTGAAAAATTTGAAAATCTGAAACTTTCTGATCCCAAGTGTTTTGAATAAGGGATACTCAACCTGTATATATTTTATAATAATGCTGCAGCTAACAACGAGTGAATTCTTCCTTTACTGTGTGCCAGCACTGTGCTGGGCATGTCAGAGTTACAGTAAACCTTGCAGCAACATTAAGAAATAGTTTTATCTCTTCTTTACACATGAGAACAGTGGAGCAACTTGCTGAAGGCCATGAGGGTGGTGAGCAGCAGAGCCAGGCCTCAACTCAGGCTTCGTTAACTACAAAGTGTAAATGGTCGTTCATTTGTGCAAAATGGTGTTTAAACATCGAGGGACAAGCACCTCTAACTCTTCCATGAATGTCCCGGGAACAAGTCCTCAGGTAGAAGAATGTCAAAGGCCCTGAGCTTCAACTTGCTGGTAGTCAGTCTGTTAGCATAAACCAACACTACTGGGCAATGCCACTTAAGCTATAGCATCTAGTCCTGGATAGCCCTTTCTAAAGTCCTGGAGCAGAAGAAACTGGTAACAAAAAGAAAATGTTTGCTTCCTGTCTAGAAGATTAAAAAGACTTGACATTAAAGAAAAGTGATCTTTCACATCAGCAAAGCTAGTCTGAAGTACTGTAAAAGCAACTAAGTCACCCACAGAGTTGAACTGGCTACGGCCAACTACCAGGCAGCCAATGAAAGGTGGCAACAGAAAAACATTCAAGGGCAAGAGAAGCCTTGTGGGAGGCTTCATGTTGCAAAGGTACTCCTGAGTGGAGCTCAGAGGCAAAACTCATTTTTATTTTCCATATCTTTGATTGCCATCCCCCAACCTGGCAAAGTCTAGGAAGGCTAGGAATCTTCAAATTTCTTCAATATACCATTCCCTGTTTTCGTTAGTCACATTTACCTAAGATATTTATTTGGATGTTCATTTACAAGCTAATAAATACATGGAGAAGTCTCATGGGGAGTTCACGGTGTCTCTGTGAAATCTGTCACCCAGCACACTCATTAGGAAATTATTCCAAGCAGTTAGTACAATAACTAGTTGAAATACAACCCCCACCCTGCCCCAGCAAATCAAGTCCAGTGATTTACATTACAAAATTGTTGTTGCTTCTGTAAGTATGCCAGAACAAGGGCTGTTCTACAAATCCACGTGTCTGGATGCAACCATTCGGGTAAGCACTGTCCTGAACACTATGCCAGACCACTGTGAACTGATACAGTGTTACTGAGAGAATGTCCAAAGTGTGATTTAGAAGAGGAAGAGCACAGAATTAAATCTCTCTTTAAAACATGGCTCCTGGTTTGTCTGGTTTTCCCTATTTAGTGACAAACCCTGGAAAAATGAAGAATGATAATCACTGAAGGAAGGCTTCTTTTTAGATTGAAGTACTCTGGTATTTAGAATATAAAAGTCTCTGGGTGGAAGAAGTTGGCCTGCATATGATTTCCCTAATCAAAAACACCTATAATTATGCAATTCAAGCCTCCACACTATTCATTAGACACATCATCTGTTACTCAATGTCAAAACGCACTAACAGCAACATTACAACTATTACCACTCTCTCTTTTTGAAGTGTTGGACAGGCATTAACGTTACATGATCTGTACAACATGAAACAGAAATAGGGGATTTGGTGTCCTCATCAAATTAAACTTAAAACAATAGAAGATGATGGCTGAGGCAGCAAGAAGTTTGAAAGTAAAACAGTACCAATCGGCGCCGGTTGTCTGCGATGGGAAAGCCCTGGGACAAAATGAGGGAGAAGAGACAGGTGTGAGAAAGGAAAAGACAGGAGGAGACAGATTAGCTATTTTTACAGACGGGGACTCCCAAATAAGACAAATTCCAGATCCTATGTGACTAAAAGATGTAGGTGGAAGGCCTGGAGCAATACGGTCCTTCTTATGCACATGGCACCTCAAAAAGTTCATGGAAAAATGGTAACAGGTAAGTTCACTGTAGTACAGAAAATTCTTGAAATCCATGCATTTTTCCTTGTGAACTTTTTGAAGACCTTGTCACATGAATTTATCCAGTGCCACACCCAACATTGTTGAGGGTCTACTCACACTTCATTTGACCGATATAATGCCATTTTCTAGGCCACAGGTTAAAAGACAACAACAGATAAGGGAGCAGATGATCTTGGCTTTCCTAAATCCAAGTGAGCACCAATCTAACTTTCATTCCAGACCGGCAACCAATTCAGAAAGAATGGAAGGTAAGTGATACAGCTTCTTGACCATCTATTCTAAATAGGGCCCTTCCCAAACTAAAGCTGGTCAACAGCTGTAGCTTAAGGCATCCACTGGACAGGAATAAACTCTCTTCCCTGAAGCCCAGCCTTGAGTTTAGGAAGCCAAGATGATGGGTTCTGCAGTACCTGGTACCCAGAGCCAAACAGGATCCCTCATCATCCCCCAGGCCTCCAGTAGAACTGGCTTCAGTGAAACAGACACGGCAAGGAAGACACCTGCCCTAGAAGATCTACACACACCTCTCTCTACACTAGCTGTCTCTGCTTTACTCTGTGTTCCCTAGCCTCACCACATGGTTCTTTTCCAGAATTCTCTCTCTTCTTCAAAATAGAATCAAATACACCAGACCTTCTAAGTTCATAAAATCTTTTTACCTTTATAACTGAAACCACACGTGTGTGTGTGGGTGTGTATGTGTGTGGTGTTAGAGGTAAACCCTCAAGACAAATTCCAGCTATTGACCTCTTCCAACTTTATGTCTCTGATCAGTTGCATGGCTTTGCCCATGATCAAGCTACCTCCTGGAATCTTCATTCCAAATACAAATTATGTAGAATCAGGTTTTTTTTTTTTTTATTGAACAAAGTCATAGACAGGCATGTCTGCACAGGAACACTATCAGTTACATACAGTCGCTTAAATTCAGCTCCACACCTTTTATTAGTAAAACACCAGGAACCAGTAAGACAAAGTAGACACTTAATGTTCTTAAGGGGTTGCTAACTCCATTCCACATGACTCATATACTCAGAAGAAACTGATAAACATTAAATGTCAAACAGTTCATTTTGGCAAAGAGGAATGAAGAAAAAGAGACAGGGAATTGCCTGATTATATTTTAAACTTCTTAGAATAAATGGGAAAGATACTACGGAAATTTTATTTGCTGATACAGGGAACAAGTATTTCCCAATTTCTCCAAATTAAAATTTCATTCTTCCACACTTTGTAAAAAAAAAAAAAAAAAAGGTATTTATTCTTTTTGGATAAACTTGAACAAATGACAGTATAAGCCATACCACCAATCTCTCCTCGCCAAAAACAATTAACTGAAAACATAGCTCCAACCCTATCCAGCATTATTTGGCTATACACAAGCCTATCTCTATGAGTGTGTGTATGTGTGTGCGTGTGTGTGTATGTGTGTTTCCTGGCAGTGTAATATTAAGCAATCATTATATATACATCAGGAGTTGAAATTAATGACTTACTCACTGCTTGAGCAACATTTAATAGAAACTTGGGGTACTTCTCACTACATTGTACTTTCAAGTTATAATTATTCCTCCACATAAATATTAGTGTGGTCCACATTTTATAACTGCCTCCCACTGGAAGTAATAGTGCAGAGTATAACAGTGTGTGCCACCAGTCAGTAAGCAGCTGGCTTCTGGACAAACACAGTGACTGAGGGAGAAGCCCTCCAGAAGCATTCCCCTTTACAGTTAGCACTGTCTCACCCACCTCTGTATCCACAATTCTCTTATCATGATGCAGAAGAGGGAAGCTGTGTGACACATAAACCGAACTGATTCCACTTCTGGGATCAAGTTCATTCAAATCTAGGTTATATGATGTTACTTTCCAGTTATAAAGTATTCGACAAGTCATTTTATTACAGTCTCAGTTCCTCCTCTGGACAATCGGTACACCTAATTCATAAAGTTGTTATGAGGTCTAAGAGAGATAAAGTAGATAAAATGATCAGCATAGGGCCTGGCCCAGAATAAGACTAACAAATATCCATAATGATAACAGCATTAAACTTCAAGGAGTGTAAATCTTTTTCCTGCAAAGAGCCATTTAGATATTTATAACATCATTTGTGGGCCATACAAAAGTATCAACTTAAAAATTAGCCTGTTATAGATTTATTGAATTTCATGTCCTGCCTGCAGTTGCCTTGGCAAGGCCAGATCAAATAATTTCATGGGCTCTACACAGCCCTCAAGGTGGGCGTCCGCCACCCTTGTTACAGAATGACTAACTCCTCTGCAAATCTATTTAGCCTAAATACTCAAATTATTTTCCCCTGGAATGAAAAAGCATCAGGTCAAGATCCTGTCCTTCAGCCTCTCGGCTGTCCACACTAACTTCTAAAGGGCTAAGTTGAACTCCCAAGTCTGCAATGATCCACGAGAAGCTTGGTAAACATGCACCCTTCCCAAGTTCACAGACTCATTTCCCTAGCAAATGCTTACTGAGTACTTAGCACAAGTCAGCCAGAGGGAAAATCACTTTGAAGCAAGCAGCAGCACAGGGTTAGGAAAGGCTTAACAGATTAATGTAAATTTGAAGTCTGTATTGAAGGGTGAGTGTTGCTCAGATGTTTACCAGACATGGGGGGAGGCTAAACAAATGCCCTTACTATTCTCCATAGAGACTGACATTTGGAATTAAAATGGTCAAACAAAAACACTGAGCATGAACAGGAGAGAAAGGGATTTAAAACAGGAACAAACCACTGAGCACTGACTCTATGGCAGGTACTCTGAAGGGCCTCATCCAGTCCTTTGTTCCAACAATGTGAATTAGATGATTAAACACTGTGGAGATAAGGACACTGATGCTCACAGAGGTTAAGTCATTTGCCCCAGGTCACATAGTTAATAAATGATGGAGTCAGGACTGACTTCAGGCCAGACTTAGTTTCATGGAAGGCACAGCTACAGGGTCTGAACTGCTACATAGGAATAAGGAAAATACACACTTCATGCAAAAGTTATGGTCTAAAGAATAACTTGTTCTTTTCTTGGAGGAATACTCCAAAAAGTACTTCCTTTTAAGAGATAAAGTGAAAGAGACACTGACTGACTTAAAGTTACTCAAAGTAATGACCACCCTGCCGTCTTTATTATTTAAACTTACAGTTCCCTAGGAGTGTGTTAATAATCTATAAACTTTGATGGCAAGGATATAACTCAAAATGTTGCCTGAAATAAATTCCATGATGAATGAAATTTACAAAATCACAAATTAACCTCAGTTGGTCATCAAAAGCATGTGAACACAAAACTACGGGCATCTATCAATTTAAAACATATCCACAGATCCCTTTTGGCCATCTATTGTAAGGCACCCAAAGCTTCAAGTTCAAATTTGTTTTCATTTTTTTTTAAAGATTTATTTATTTTTATTTGAAAGAGTTACACAGAGAAAGGAGAGGCAGAGAGAGAGAGAGAGAGGTCTTCCATCTGATGATTCACTCCCCAATTAGCTGCAACGGCCGGACCTGCACCAATCTGAAGCCAGGAGCCTCTTTTGGGTCTCCCACTCGCAAGTGCAGGGGCCCAAAGACTTGGGCCATCTTCCACTGCTTTTCCAGGTCATAGCAGAGAGCTGGATTGGAAGTGGAGCAGCTGGGTCTCAAACTGGCGCCCACATGGGATGCCGGTGCTTCAGGCCAGGGCGTTAACTCGCTGCGCCACAGTGTCAGCCACAAAATTTGTTTTCATTTTACTTAAATACTAAATAGTGAATGCAAGGCAGCCAAAAACTTTGCACAGCATTTCTCAACCAACGTAATTTCAGTGTCTGCCATTTCTCTCATCTTCAAGTCCTTGGCTGTGTCCAAGTCTTATGTACAGTGTGAGACTTGGAGACCCAGGAGTCTTTTTTTTTTAATGTATGCTTATTCATTTTTATTTATTCGAGATGTAGAACAATGGAGAGAAAAACAGAAAGAGATCTTCCATCCACTGGTTCACTGCCTAAACACCGACGATAGCCAGGGCAGGGTCAGCCCACAGCCAGGAGCCAGCAAATCCACCTAGGTCTCTCACATGGGTATCATGGACTCTTTACTTGAGCTGTCATCTACTGCCTCCCAGACACGTTAGCAGGAAGCTGAATCTGAACCAGAGCTGGAGGCAGCACTGCAGCCCAGGCACTCCCATATGAGATGCAGGCATCCCAAGCAGTGGTTTATGGCTTAGGTCACTGGGCACAAGGTCTGCTCTGGCCCAGGAGTGTCAAGGAACAGAATCTGCCTTTGACTTGGGTTCAGTATCAAAGCTCTCACATCAGTCTGGGACAGCAAAGACAAAACAGAGTAAGGCTTAAATGTTTACTGAAAAAAAGTAAGAATTCAGGGAAAGCACTCAATCTGGCATCTCAAAGAGGAGACTTAACAAACAGAAGTTATCTTGCTGCATTTCTCAGCATTCCAATATAAATTTTTTATAATTATGAGGTTCTCTCAATTGCTTTTAAAAATACTTTTAAAAAATCATTAAAGTACATAGTGAAAAATTCAAAGAGTAAAATAATGTGGAGGTTCCCATCTCAAATCATCTCCCAGAGGTTACCACTGCTATGAAATTCTTGGGACTATTTTCCATGGAAATATGCCATGTATAAGGCATCCCTTTTAAACAGGACTATAGAAATTAAAATATATAGAGAAAGTAGAGGGTCCAGCAATGTGGTATAGCACGTTAAGCCTACACCTGCAGTGCCAGCAACCCACAGGGCACCGGTTCAACTCTCAGCTGTTCTACTTCCAAACTAACTCCCTGCTAATGTACCTGGGAAAGAAGCAGAAGATGGCCCAAGTCCTTGGGCCTCTGTACCCATTTGTGAAACCCACAAGAAACTCCTGGCACCTGGCTTTGGTCTGGCCCAGCTCCAGCCATTTGGGGAGTGAACCAGCAGATGAAAGTGCTCTCTCTCTCTCTCTCTCTCTCTGTATCTTTGCCTTTCAAATAAATAAATACATCTTAAAAAAAAAAAGGTAGAAAATAAGGAATTAAAAATGACTAAGTTAGAGAAACCATTCCAAGAAGGTCTCACAATGAAAGTCATGTCAATTTTCTCTTGCTGCTCTGGCCTTCAAGACAGGGACACAAAGAGCAATGAGAAGCTACTTCAGTTTAATGTCAAAATATTCATTCTAAAATAACAGCAAGGGGTTGGCATTGTGATGCAGTGGGTTAAGCTGCCACTTGCTACATGAGCATCCCATGCTGGAGTGCTGGTTTCAAGTTCTGGCTTCTTTGCTTCTGATTCAGCTCCCTTCTAATGTACCTGGGAAAGCGGCAGAGAATGGCTCAAGTACTTGGGCTCCTGACATCCATGTGGGACACCCAGATGGAGTTCTAGGCTCCTGCCCTCAACCTGGCCCAGCTCTGCCTGTTGTGGCCACTTGTGGGGTAAATCAGTAGATGGATGATTCTCTCTCTCTCTCTCTGTGCCTTTCAAATAAACAAATCTTAAATAAATTAATTAAGTAACAGCCAAAAGGTACACAGATCTGGGGAACAATACGCAACCGTCTTAGAAATGAGAGTGGACTGCTGCTAAATGAACTGAATATGAGCATTAGTTGGGGGGGAGGGGGGACTTCCATTCGCTTATTCTACAACTATTTCCCAAGCACAGCCTATGTGCCTGGCACTGAGATGGGTGCCCTTCAGAGAGCAATGAACTGCGTAAGCACTGTATCTTCTCTCAAAGAGCTTTCAGAAATTTATACTCCATGTAAAATTTTGTAATTTTCCCTGATAAAACTAACGACTTTGTTTCTAAGAGTGATGAGAAAGTTTATCTTGCTGCTGAATAGTTGTAATTATTAGTCCTTCCAAAAAGACAGCTGACTGAGTACCTTCCTAGCACAGTGCCAGGCAATGCCAACAACAAACCTGAATTCCTCTTTCACACACGCTAGTTATTTACATCTCATAACCTCCTGCTCTCTGCTTTATACGGCTCAGAGAGATTAACTAATTGCACCTCAATATCAGAAGCAAGACTTGAATGCTGGTCCTCTACTCCAGAGCTACAGAAGAACAATCTTCTAGGCATACAGAAAGTCTCAACTTTCTGGGGCTGGCACTGTGG